TTAGCACTCAGCAGCTTTTCCCCTGCAAGACTTATTGAACAGACAACTTGTGATGAAAGCAAGTCCCTCGGCCCTCGGCTCTGACCCTCCTCTCGCTCGGAGGTGATTTGCTATTCTCCCCTTTGGTCGGAGCTACAGGCGGCCCAGGGCAAAGAGCAATACATTTCCATTTGTTCATAGTGCAATTAATGCACTTCTTAATCTTCTTTAAACCACGACTGCACTTTCCAGCAACACTTTATTGATCATTTTCTTTTCTTGGTTTCAATCGGATCAGATTGTGGTGCTCTTTAATTTGTCTTTTTTATAAGTTGTGTTGTTGCCACTGCTGTAAATCAAATCTTCCTTTGAGGGACAATAAAAAGGTTTGAAGGTGCAGTGACAGTGACAGTAACATGTTCATACTGATAGACATTAAAATGCAAAGCCATTTTTTTGTATTTGCAATATTAATTCACCTTAGTATATTCTTTATAGGCGAGTTATTCATGTTTTTCCCTCTTATAGTTATCGTGTAATTACAGTGTATTATCCTATACCTTATAATAACCTGCTAGTGCTGCAACAACATTACTCCAAGTCTAATCATAATAAAGTGTATTTATCTCTACATGAATCTGGCTATATCCAATAAAAGGCCATTATTGCATCATGCACAACCACCCTGACCATGCAGCAGCAGCACAGCTCTCTCCACATGTCACTTTATTCAAACTTTAAAAACAGTCTCTTACCTCGTCTCCCCATTTCAGCACATCCTTCTGCCTTTCCTTCACCTTGTTGTAGATGTTGAGGAACTGAATGATGCCATGCTTTCTGATGTGGTCGGCATACTTCTTGGTTTCTTCCCAGTTCAGTGGAGACCCCTGTGACAGTAGACCCATGGCACACACACACACACACAAACACAACACACACACACACACACACAGGCTGGAGGATGCACAAGCTGACGGCCGCTGTCTCTTGCTGCTTATATAAAACTTGCACGCCGTGTGTTAGCTACCTAGCTAGTTAGTCCAGTTCTGGGTGCAGACAAAACGCCGGAGTCTGGATCCTCAGGGTGCCGCCAGGTGGGTTTTTCACAGCCTGATGTAAAGTGTCGTGGTGTTAAGCAGCGTGCCCTGAAGGCAACCTTAGCTGGGCATCCACAAGAAAAAGAAAAAGGCCCCTGCTCATCACTTGCTAATGTCTGGTTAGCTCGGCACAAACCGAGAGGTGATGCAGAACGCTTCTCCTCCTTCCTGCAGAAAAAAACCCCGAAAAAACCCCGAGGAGTTCACCGGTACCGACTACAGACTGAGGCCCGTCAAAACGTGGAGCCCTGTGACTGAATGACAGCCGTGTCGTCGTGTGTGTGTGTGCCGCTGCTGCCAAAGCCAGAGTCGTCGCTGTCGCTGCTGCTGCTGCTGTGTGTATGTGTGTGTGTGTGAGTGAGTGTGTGTGTGTGTTGTACATATATGAACACCCTCCTGGCTTTTCAAACACGTGATGCCGTCAGGCGGAGCGCAGAGCGGGGTGACGTCACTATGACTCAGCACTCTTCTCTAACTAGGCTCCTCCCACCAGCCTTGTGCCAAGTGAAAATCACAAGTACTTTGTAAAACAGCAAAGTCACGATTAAAAAAAGACAAATAAACTAAAAAAAATAAAAATAAAGGAAGGCAACGGATAGAAAGTCGTGCAAAAGGTATCTCTACCTGCTCAGATGTTAAATAACCTGGACTGTAAAACACAATATAACGTGCAATATATTTATCTGTATAGTATTTTTACTCATGGTTTTTCTTTTTATATCTATTTATATCTGCACCTTATTTTTATTTTTTATATGTAAATACATGCTGCTGTTTTTATCCTGCACTACAACGAGCCAAATGCAATTTCGTTCTTATCTGCACTGTAAAGTACAAGTTTGAATGACAATAAAGAAAGTCTAAGTCTACTCAGTTTTATTTATGATCATGTTTTCTTAAATTTTTGGCACTCAGATTGTTTTTTTTTGGCATTTTGTGCATTTATTAGTGAATAGAGTTGGAAATCAGGGAGAGAGAGAGTGGGGAATGGCATTCAGTAAAGGAGCCACAGGTCGGATTTGAACCTGGACCGCTCGCTTGGAGGACTATGGCCTCCATACACGGGGCGCGCGCTATAACCACTGTGCCACAAGCGCCCTGACTCTGAGATTGTTTTAAATAAAAAGTGGGCAACAAATATAATGTGTTATTATTATATTATTTTTATTTATTTATAAATATTTAAGTGCTAGAAAAACAGCAATTACAAGGCCAAGTCATCACAGCAATGCTTTCCAGTTCCATAGTGAAAGATGTTTGGTTTGAAAATTGTTTTTATTTCTAAAACAAAAAGAGTAGGGACCTGTATTGTCTTGTTTAAGGGTTCTTTGTCTTTTTAATCCAGGCTACGAAAACGAATGAGTCATGGTTACAACTTCAGTGTGGGAAGGACCGGCATATCAGGAGAAGTTAAACCCTACATAGTATACAAAAGATGAAATGTAATGATGACACAGCATTTGTGTTTTCTATTTTCTTTTTTTTATAAATATTTTATAAATATTTAAATGCTAGAAAAACAGCAATTAAAAGGCCAAGTCATCACAGCAATGCTTTCCAGTTCCATAGTGAAAGATGTTTGGTTTGAAAATTGTTTTTATTTCTAATGTCACCTTTCAAGCAAAGATAAGCTTAACCCTTGTTAAAATCAGCTTCATCTAGTAGCTAAAATATCCCTTCCCACTTTTCAAATTCCCATTATTTTAAAGTTTATCTTATTTCTTTGACCAGTTTTAATAATGGCTGAGTTATCTTGGGAAGTGCAGTGCAAAATAAAAATGTTCTTTTTTCATTTAATCTTTAAGTTTCCCTTTTAAATTACATCTGCATAACGCCAGGCAAGCCAATGTCCACAAAGCAGTAATTGAAAAGAACTTGAAAGAGACACAAGGTAGCCCACTCAAATGTAAGAGGTAGCAACCAAATACATGTTCCCTTAATGATTTCCTTTTTTCAGATAATCAGAGGGATCAGACATGAAAAATAAAGTTTGATATACGCAAATAATGCTGAAAAAACGTTATAAAATGACGTGGTCCCAAGTCTTACACTCAATTGTGTAAAATATCAGTGCGCAAAAAAAGAGTAGGGACCTGTATTGTCTTGTTTCAGGGTTCTTTGTCTTTTTAATCCAGGCTATGAAAACAAATGAGTCATGTTTTTACAACTTCAGTGTGGGAAGGACCGGCATATCAGGAGAACTTGAACCCTAGTAAACTAAAGATGAATGTAATGATGACAGAGCATTTGTGTTTTCTATTTATTTTTTCTGGGGCGTGTGTGTTTGTGTGTGCGCGTGTGTGTGTGGCTTATAGGTCATTAAACTTTATTGACATCTGCCCTGAAGAAAGGATGTGATTTAACAGAGACAAAAGAGAAGTTTGATTGACCTCTTTTGACAAGTTTCTTTCACACGTATGGGAGTTATTTTGTTACATGTCAACATGTTTATATAGCTCAGTAAAGTAAGACCAAAGATTAGTTGGGAAGGAAACACTTTTTTAAATATTTTAATGGTATTCAAACATATTTTCAGGGTGTACAGGAGCCTGACTTCTGTTTTTCAAAGGCCACTACAATACTGATTTTAGATTAGAACAATTAAACTATTTAGATATGTAGGAAGATTGAAAAACATCCCAAGTTTTTGATAATTTCCAGTGATTTATGCACCTTTTTTGTGCACCCCTAAGGCTCCACAAAAGTATAGTTTTCGTGTCCTTTCCCACCTCAACTCCAAAGCAGTGTTGCAATTGCCCTGCACCAGTGGTGTGCACGACAAACACACCCAGCTTATAGCTTCCCACAACAGGCAAGTTAAGTTTAAACCCCAGAAATCCTAAACTGCCTCAGAAGTTGTTTTAAACAGAGATTGTAGGAGGACGCTTCATTTTAACATTTTATTGATTATTGTTGATTCAAGTGTTCCTTTTCTCTTGTTTTGTATTTTAAGATAATAATAAAAGCCTAATGCAGTAAATCACACATGAGAGGACACATGTGGTCCACCGGTGCACGTGCTAAGAAGTATTTGACCTTCCCTTTTTTGTCCCCCTTTGAGTCCGCCTACTTCAGTTCCATGGAGACAAAAAAAAAAAAAAACGTATGAAGTGAAAGGTCAAATCTGAAAATCTACTGTTCAAATCAAATGGGGAAAACGTATTAAAAAAAATAGGTTTTGAGATCCTGAAACTATTTCTTTAATAACTTCACAGTTGGGGTTAGTTACAGCTCTGTTTCTCTAACATTTACAAACACGTGATTGGCTGACAGAATGACCTTGATAGCTGTTTGTTAGAACGCAAATAAAACTGGCGCTGAATGGAAAGGATACCTCAATGATGCTTTCAGTAATAGGGAAAAGCTCTTTCATGCACTCATTAAGCTCATATTACTGAAGCCCTGTTTCCTTGCACACACTATGCAAAGTATGTTGACAGAACTAATCCCCAGCTCAGCTCTGCTCTCTCTCTCTTTTGCTGTTGTATTCTCTTTATGCTAGATTACAGACAGACTTTAAAGCTATATTAGTAGCATGAATCTCCCTTGGGGCCAATGAAATTCAGGGTGGGTCCAATTTAGTTGTGTACAAAAACACCAGCCAGCTATCCACAAATATTTAGGAAAATGTACCGAAAAAATGTGGGAAGATATGTGAAATATACACGATTTTTAAGAGTCTCTTGGATTCACATAAACATGATTTATGACCTTTGAAATCAGCAATGTTCAATAGAAGACAGAAGGTCAGGCGTGCAAATCTCAAAGGAAATGAATGATCTCAAAAAGTCCTTCCTCCAAACTCATGAGAGTTTGATGATTGAGGTCAAAAACTAACATGTACCTAGTAATTATATGTTTACCCCCTTTCAAATGAAATGATTTTAAATAAAGAACCATGGCGCAGAGTAGCTTACACTTCATTTCTTTAATTTAAAAACAAAAAAAAACAAAAATCAAAAGACATGAGCATTCAGGGAATTCATAAACAGATCTCCAGGAAAGCTCAGGCTAAATACATCATTCCCTATGTTATATTTTTCTTTTTCTTTTTTACAAAATAGTTTATATCCATCACATCCAAACCCGTTCAACCTTCAACATCATCCCAACATTTTCCCAACAGAATTCCCGATAGTGTTTACAGCGATCACACAACACAGCTGAGTGTACTGTCCATGATACATATGTTTTTCCTGTGTTTGAACTCTAATCATGATCCACACCCACACCTGGCAGGTGATGCCAACACTTTATCCAGCTCCAGTTTATTCCCCGTTTATTACTCTGGTCAAGTATTTGAAAATCACAGTAACTACAGTCACCAGTAACAAGACTGTCACAAAATCCTTCAATATTAACAACTGTGTATTTAAATCTTCTGTTAAATTCATCCACTTTGTAAAAAAAATAGAGTTGCAGATTAACCTTGATAACGGCATTGTTTGCCTTTAAATTGGTAATTATTGGGTTGTAAATAACATTGTATTTGCTGTATAAAAAAGGTTGATTGAAGTCAACACCACTGACTGTACGGTGGCCGACAGGTGGAAGCTTTTGACAACGGCTGAAACGACTTATATTAAGACAAAAGTGTAGCATGTTCAGAAATGCTGCAAATGAGTGATTTACTTAATGTGAGTCATTTCAGCCATTGCCGAGCGCTTGCACATGTTGAGCGACGTGGTATGATTGGCCCCCAAAAGAAATTTCAGTCTAAAAATGATGAAATCCTGGTATTTTATTGATCAGCATTTTAATAAAAAATAAAAAACGGGGCAACTTACAGGGTCTGGAATAAAGATTTTTGCCACAGAATAGCTGGAGACCTTTTGACATGTAAACTACACCACTACTTTCACCTTATGCTTTATATACTGACTGGTGCAGAAGATGCTGAACTGGCTCTGGACTCTCGTGTTTTCCGCGTGGGGATGGTGACCACACAGCATGAAATGCCGACTGTAGCTTCTGGCAGCTCGTCGTCCTCAGTCCATTCGTTGAGGTCAGGGTTGTAAACCTGAATGCATTTCTTGTACTTCTTCTCGCCCTCGTTCCAGCCCCCAAGGAGATACACCTTGTTGTTTAAAGTGGAAATACCTGCTGTGCTCACACCTGTGAGAAGAGGCGTACAGTAGCTCCACTGCCCGTTTTGAGGGTTGTAAGACTCGACGGCGAGGACATCCACCCTCTCCCCGCGACCTCCCAGCTGACTGCCGCCGAAGACGTAGGCGCGGTCGCCCAGCGTGGCGGCGCAATGCCAGCCTCGAGGTGTGCTCAGGCTGCTCTTATCCTGCCAGGAGTCGGTCGACGGGTCGTATGAGCACACGGCTCTGGAGTAGGCGTTGTTGATGTAACCTCCTGACACAAGGATCTTGCCGTCTATGAGGGAGCTTCCGTGGCAGCAGCGGGGCACCTCCATGGACGCCTTCATCTGCCACTGGTTGGACGAGGGCACGTAGCACTCCACCGAGGCCTGAACACCATCTCCATTCCGCCCTCCGATGGCGAACAAGAGACCATTGAAGGTGTTGAGACTGAAGTGGGTACGCCTCTGGATCATGTTGCTCAAGTGGTTCCAAGTGTTGAATCGTGGGTCGTATCTAAAGGGAGAGAGATTGGAGGTTAGTTTTTTAATTCTACAGCAGCTTCTACAACACATTTGTAAAAAAAAAAAAAAAAGGTAGTTCTTACCTGCAGAAGTTGCTGACGGCATGCTTGGCCTGGTTTCTTGCATCATTCTGGTCCTCACCACCTGCTACGTAAAGGAAGCCATCCAACACCGCAACGCACTGATTGAAGCTCTTTGCGGGCATTTCTGTCAACTTATTCCACACATTATCTGAATCTCTGTAGAGCACATCTTTGCTGAGAGATTTCTCCGTCAAGGCCGGGCGTCCGCCAACTGTGAGAACCACCCTCAGGCCGCCGCGTACCTTCGTTCTCCGTGACTGGAGGATGTTCTGTTGGAACGGCAGCAGGTGGTAATTCATGGCGTCGACGAGGAGACGGTGGCACTCCGCGTCCTGCATCATTCTGGGCACGCTCTGGACGTGATTCACCAGGTCTTGGGCGGAGATGGTGCCGAAGCGGATGTGGGTCAGGAGGTCCGCCGCGTACTTCAACCTCTTCTCGTCGAAGTCCAACCACTTCATGGCGATCTGGAAGGCCGTGATCTCGGAGGGAAGCTGCAGGGAATCATCGGAGAGGAAGTCGCTGATCTGCTCGTAGGTGAGCTTCAGGAACTGCTCCATCTCGGAAAACTCGATGAAGTTCTCTCGCATGAACTTCTGCGCCGCCTCTTTGGTTTCTTTTAGGTCGTAGGCGTCAGCGATGTTGGCCACGTACATGCAGTTCTCCACACTGAGCTCCTGCATGAGGAAATCGCTGCACATCTTTACCAAAGTGCCTATTTGCAGCAGTATGGCGGCGGCGATCGTGCTCCCGATGCTGTACAGGGACAGGGTCAGCTTTCCGGAGTAAGCATACGTGATCGCAGTGGCGAGGCCGACCGGCGACAGGTCGTTCAGCTCAACCTTCTGGAGGGACGAATCCTTCTTCAAGATGTTTCGGACGTACTCGCTGCAGGAGGCCATGACGACCTTGTGGACGTCGAATGACTTTGACTTGGTGGAGACCGTCAGATCACAGAGGAAGCTCTCCTGTCTCATGTTGCTCAAACCCTCCAGCAGGTTCGGGGCGTACACGGAATCGTTGACTTCGGTCGAGATGCAGCTGAAGCCGTTTCCTCCCTCCAACAGAGTGTTTAACCCATTGATCTTGTTGATGGGGCTGTCCTCCACCATGATGGTCATCTCATTTATGTCTCCTTTGCTCTTCTTGGTCGTCTTGCTCTTTTTGGGTGCCATGGCTGTAGCAGCGGTACACAGCCCAAACCTTCTGAAGAAACAAACAAAAAAAAGTATTACAACCCTGATACAAAATGCCATTTGAATTCCCGTTCTGCTGAAATATGTTGCATAAATACACTTGCCTTTCCATAATAACATGTGCCTTTTATTATCAGTTATATGCCACTGATTAAAAAGACACTTGTTTATGTTAATCTCAATATTAGCACTGATTTGACTGACTTTTTATAGTTTTCTCATTTACTTTAAACGACTTCATTGGTTCCAAAAGTAAATTATAGTCTAAAAATGATAAATTGGTGTGTATGTCCCATTTGTCTCCATCATAAACATTTGGATAAAGATTGCGTTGTATCAGCCAGGCAGATGGGGTCACGTACTACAGATCTAGTAAGCTCTTGGAAATACAGAGGAGTTTAAAGCATGCCACATTCACAATACTGAAGCTTTTTTTTAATGTCTATGTTTGAATTCTTCATGGGGGCCCTGTTGCTCTTGCCTCTTGTTTATGAACTGTTTGCAAACTTTGCAGTGATGCAGATCACCAAATTCACTTGTTGGATTTCAGGGCAAAAAGGTTTTTGTTTGTACAATCTGAAGTAAGTGGATTTATTTTTTTGGGCAAAACCGCAAACCGACACCTTTGAAACCATGTGTGTTGCCAGGTGATGCTGTGGCCAGAGAGTGAGCCAACATGCCCCCTCTTTGCATCTGTCACATTTTATCACCAGTACCTCCAGGAATAGCATCGCTGGACGCCTCTCCCATGACGTTCCTTTTATAGACTTTGAGACATGAGCAACAGGCCTCATGTCCTCTGATTGTTTAAGTTCAAATCAGGGCGTAATTCTCTTTTTTCCCATTTTATTTAATCGAGTTTAACTGTTTTAAGTCTGTCCTAAATACACCTGGAATTAAACCAATCTAAAGGATGTATACGTTTAATAACTTTTCAGATAAGTTACTCCGAGCACTAGAAAACTTAAGGCCATATGTTTGAAAACTCATTTTACCAAAAAGTCACCAGCTTCACACACTTATTTGCTTCTTGCAGTCAAAGCTTTCAAGGAATATGTGAAGTATCCTTTCCAAAATGACAAACTTCAGGTTTCAGCCATGAAACCCATCAAACTGCCATTTTTTACTGCTAAAATGTCAATCAAACATGCAATTAGAAAACGTCACTTACCTGATCAATGAAGTTGAGGCTGGTGAACAAGGATCTTGTGCCTCCAGTTACTGGAGCAGAAGAGAGAGAGCAGCAGTCACCCCCACTGAAAGAGACATGCAGCTAACTCCTCCTCTCTGCGGGTGAGTGCCAATCAAGTATTGTGCAATGCATGCAGCAGGGGGCAGGGACCATATACACCCCCCATCACCCCCCCACAGCCCCACATAGTGTCCTACGATAGCCCCAAATCGTTTGATGTCAACATACAGAGGGTGTTCATGCTACATCCCCAACAGGTTGACATGGGAGTTTAATTGTCCTTTGTTTATAACTTACATTTCGTTTCAGTGATGTACATTAGATTTTTTTTTTGTTTTACATGTTTTGGCCTATTTTCCTTTATTTGAATGGAAAGCTGATATAGGAAATGTGGGGAAGGTAGGGGGAGTCGAACCTGCGACCATGCCTCAAGGACGATTACTCTGTAAATGGGTCGCCTGCTCAATACTGAGCAAAACTGGCAACCCACAGAGTGCAATCATCCAAAATGAATTACTTTTTGTTGTATGAAAAAAACTACGAGGCAATATCCCTTGACTACTGGATGAGACCTTAAAAATATCAAACAGAAGGCTATCACTTTGGAAAACTGTTGGTTTATAAAACTTGAAAGGTGCACATATCTGACTTATATTCTTTGTATATATGTCACCAACAGAGACTTGCAGCCTGGTCCAGTTTATAAGAAACATTTATATCTGTCAAAAAGCTACATATAACTTTACTCCCACCTTACATACACAAATAATAGACATAATAATTATGACTAAGATGAGCCTTTATGAGCGCTTCACGTTACTCCTGACAATGATTTAAAGAGAGCTGTCATGTATAGGGCGATGTGAAACTGGAATAAACTAAACTCTACCCAGATGAATAATAAGATGACCTTTAAAAAGTGATTAAGGAACACAAATCAGTTTGATCTTCATGAAACATCTTGTATGTGAATGATATTTGATTGACTTAAAAGTAAAGCTACGATTCTTATTATCGTAAACTACTGCTTTAACCATCTGTGTTCATGACACTGAATTGTATTTGTGCTTTGGTTTGTTTGAGATTGTTTTTGTATTTTGTGTATTTGATTGATCTTGTTTTTTGTCTTGTTTTTTTTTTTTTATGGACCCAAGCAAGAATAGTTGTTACTGTGGTAACAACTAATGGGGATCCAATGTAAATAAATAAATAAATAAATAAATAAATAAATAAATAAATAAATAAATAAACAGCGTGTGTACAATAAGAGTTGTGGTTTTAGAGATTGTACAGTTATTTGGCTTCATTCTAGCAGAGCAGGATTTAGGCTTTAAGGATCATGATGTCATCTCTAAATCTGCACACCTAATGTTGTTTCTGATTAAACCATTAGAAATATCTCTCTTTCGTTGCCCCAAAGAGTCACCTGCAGGTAAAGAGGCCTGCAGGTAAAGAGGCCCTGAGGGAGGAGTCAGAACTATTTTAATTTCTCTAACATCAGAATATCTGCAAAAATATGATCAAAAAATATCATATGGACTTGATTTCCTTTACATAATTAAAACAATCTACGCACTCTGCATAATAAACTCATGTCATGTCCCCCCCGGGGTTCCGCCCATTATAATAGTGTCATCAATGGGCGCGCGCTGCCCGGTGTGCGTGGACGGTTGCACGTGAGTCACCGTGATGGCCAGCAGCTCTGATGTGGTGAAGAAAGTCATGCGGTTCAAACTTCAGCTCTCAGACACTGCAGAGTCTGCGACGGTAGATACAACTCTTCTTTTCACAGCAGTGCACACAAGAAACACGCCGTAACTTAAGAGGGAAAACACCTGCACACCTAGACTTCGCTGTTTCTTTACATTTTGTTTGTGGTTTAAAGGATTTAACGATATGGCCATAAGTTCCTCCAGAAACTTCCATGCGATTTAGAAACGTAGGCTACTCTGTTTTTAATTGGTTTAACACATTCAGCCATTTTTCATCCATGGATTTGTTCCTTCAAAGTAAACATTGTAGCCAACTTGTTTAACAAACACCACATGACACCGGTGCACGTTAGGCTTTAAACCCGTTTACTTCCCCCTGGATTTCATGTAATCTCCAGGGGCCCTCGCGGTTATTTGTCTTTTCCGTTACGCTCCCTTTGATGGCGCTCGCACAGGAGCTGATTGAGAGCTGTCTCGGTCACTGACATGTGCTCTGCTTCTTGTAGCCACACATTTTGCAGCACTTTACCGCAGGCTGCTTTGCTGCTAAAATTGGCGACTCCTCCAGCTGTTCAACTTATGGCTGCTGTCCATCAACAGTGGAGGTGGGGAAGCTGTCTGCAGGGTGTCTTCAGCCACTTTTACGCATAGAATAAAGTTGTAAACTGGCCGATTTTAAGTTTCATGCAACACTTGCATACATGAAAGTTGAACAGTAAGTCAAATGCACTTAGGAAAAGACTTATTGAGTTGTATATTGTGGCTTTAACAGACAGCAGTAGTGTTATCCATTTATAGTGCGCAGTAAACGGAGCAGCCTAAGTGGGTGTGTGTAGTTCCCATACATAGATTCTGCTTTGAATGCACAATCAGCAACTGTTGGCGTCCCAAAGCCAGGATGACCATATTTGGCATGTGGAGTTTTCTTCACTTTGAAGTCCTCAACATGTATTAAACCACACTGAAATTCACATGTTGTCTCTTTCTCTCTCTCTTTTTTTTTTTAGGTTGTAAAAATTTTACAGAAACTCAAGGATTTGGAAATCACATTAGACATTCTTGCTGTGAGTCTTTTTTCACCAAGATTGATTGTTAGTACATTTTGCATGCAACATTTTTCCGTTTGGTGCTCTGACCTCGTGTCTGTAAATAATTTAGGTAACTGGTATTGGCAAAACGGTAAACTCATTACGCAGACACGAACAAGCTGGAGAAATTGCAAAGTCGCTGGTTAGAGGCTGGAAGAGATTGGTCCCAAAGGACTCCACGAGGTGAACTTAATTTAACCTTATTTTAGTTTTATGAAATCATAAACTCTACGATGTGTTTGATTGTGCTAAATGTTCTGTTTACCTGTTTGAATGAAGCCAAACAGAAGATGGTGAGGCGTCAGAGAGTTTGTCTGCTAAAGAAAAAACGGACGACCACGAGTGTGAAAATAACAACAGTTCAGTGGTGGAGGATTTAAACAATAATCGCTTCACGTCGCGCAGCAAGAGTCACGATTCTTCTTCAGGTGAGGACGTGTGTAAGAAGAGTTACAGGAAAGCTGATTCAGAGAACCGATGCGAGGAACAGAAAACACTAAAGGATCAACGTGAAAGTCGAGAAAAAGGTCAAAAGGAAAACAAGAGTATGTCTCCGAATGAAGTCTGCGAAGAGAAAGTTGAATTTGAAGAGGATAAAATGGACAATTCAGGGGTTTCCAAGAAGAAGAAAACTGAACAGAGGGACAGCAAATCAAGAGGTGGTGACACTTTGTCAGCAAACAAAAGCTCAGGGGACACTCGGCACAAATCAAGCTCTCATTCTAAGGACAAACGTAAAAGAAGCTCTGAAAGTGGAAGGTTTGAGTCAGAAAAAGAGTCAAAAAAGAAATGTAAGACATCAGATCCGTCTCCAAAAGGAAGAAAAGACTCTTTTTCATTTGACTCCGAGGACAATTTCTCAAAACCCTCACAACCTGCCAACGTCAAGGATATATCGAGGGATTCAGAGGACAAACACAAAAAGAGGAAAAGAAAAAGCAAAGAGAAACACACGACACGAGAAGCAGAAGATGCGGCGCATAAAAACAAGAAGGCCAAACTAAAGCAAGGAGGCGAAGAGAAAGACCCCGAGGAGCCCTCCATGTCTTTTGAGTCCTGCTTGAACTATGATGTGAACGTTTGCAAGAGGAAGGAAAAATCTGCAGTGAAGAAAAGGCCCAAGAAATTCAAAGAGGAAGTCAATGTTGATTCTCCAAAGCAGGTATACCTGGTAATAATCTTCAAAATGTAGCTCATACAGTACAGGTATTGATGGATTAACACTGACTTATAATCTGTTGTGTTTTAGAAGTTTAAAAGCTCTATCATGGACCTGATTAACATTCCTTTACCTGCTGTCCTACCTGAATATGAAAAACCTTCCTGTGACGAGTACTTTGAGAGGAGAGGTAAAAAAAAAAAAAAATCAAGATTTAATTTAAAATGTATGTTTGTTTTTTTTTTTGCATTTTGACGCTCCCATTTGTTTTGTCTTCAAGTGGAGAAGGAGCCTGATTTCTGTGACGATGACTCGGCAGTCTTCACGTGTCAACGACTAAACAAGAAGATGCAGGTGTACTCCGGTAACAAGACCGTCTTCCTCCCGACCATGATGAGCCTGCACCAGCAGTGTGTCCGCACTCTCCAGAATAATATCAACTGTGAGTGAAGCCTAGAGAATAGTTTTTATTTATTTTTTTATTTGCTGTGAGTTTTTTTGATTCTTATTGAGGAGCACAAATCTCTTCTCAGTGCTGTATGAAACCGGAGGAGTCCCGTTTGAAATCCTGCAGCCCGTGCTGGAGAGGTGTACGCCTGAGCAGCTGCTACGCATCGAAGAATGCAACCCAGTAAGACTGTGAACATGAATACACTTAGTGCACACACACACACACACACACACACACACTCACACTGATTGGCCAACGTTTTAAGATAAACCTGTTTCCCCCAGAGCAGCTGGAAATCATTCGACAAACAGACAAAGTTTACCGTTCCACTCTCCCCATTTTGGTAAATTTGTCCGAGCTTCTAGGTGTGTATTTGCTCTAAGGACTTCTTTTGTTTGTTTTCTGCAGATCTATGTCGGGCAGACGGATGACCTGTGGGGGAAACATTGTCAGAGGGACTTTAAAGACTCTAAACTTCAGGAGTATGAATCCTGGAAAGAGATGTACATCAGGCTGTCTGCGGAAAGAGAGAGGAAACTCCAGAGGCTGACCAAAAGCATCGTCTCTGCACATCAAACCAAACCAAAAGGTGTAGACTCGACGTCAATCAATCAATGTTTATGTAGCACTAATTCACACTTTGCAAAATCAGCC